GAGAGCTTTTAAATAAATTCAATTCAATACGCTTTTATAGCCAATGAGACGATGTGCTAGTAGTGGAAGTTCAAATTTCCGTTGAATGTGATCCAATTGGCTAGAACAATTTCCTCTCAAATAATTCATTACACTCTTGAGTTGAATGCAGGATGCATTGCATTCTGTATTTTGCACAAGAAAACAGCAGAAACTTTACACTTTTCCGGAGAATAGGGTTGCACCAATATAACATGGCTAAATATTCTGTAACTTGTTTAGCAGGAAAATGTTTTACATGTTAAATATGTATAACATTATAGAGTTTTAAAGGTTAAAATTTCACCTAACTCGGGTAAGGATTGATCAGAAATAAACATATCGTGTGAGTAGAATTGCCAATGATTCTTTTTTTTACCCATTTTTTTTACACCAAGGAAACATGCAAGGACGGAAAAGGGAAAAGTTGTGCGGTATTTTCTCGACTCCATTCCTCAGCATTTTTATAAGCAACTTAGTTGCATTTTATGAAGTTCCTCTTGTGGCTCTGCATGCGGTGAATCCTCAAGTACCTCGGTAGCGATAAGTGATGGCCACTTGGGCCACACAAAGGGGAGTTTTGCAAAACCAAGAGTGTGGCGGAAAGTGTTTCCAATTAGTGGAGAGAAATCGATAAAATCTTAATTCCTCCACCACTTTGCGACCATGAATATTTGAGGGATATTTTGCGAATTAACGGGAGGAAAATCGCGAGATAAGAAATACAGGGATGCCGTATCTTGGCGCTCATCTAATTTTCATAATGGAAAATGTTAATTGCTATATCTCTGGTGGAAAGTTTAATCTCTGACAAGTATCGAGACTCACCAAAGAATTCCACCACTTGACTTTATGGCCCAGCAACTTTCTCTGTGGGCGACCAAAAATGTTGCGTCCTCCAACAGTATTTCAAATGAGAAATTATTATTGGATAAATATCCATAATATTCTCATTTCGTGGAGATATTTCACAAGTTATGTCGTGTGTCTGGCCAGAAATTTGCATTAGAATTCCACTATCTGTGTAATTCATGGGAGATAACCCCAAGAATGTCTTGTACTCCACCTAATTTGATATTAATTGCACCTCCGACAAGGACAGGCGACAAACACACAAATGACTTGTTCCACTAACCAGGCATGAAGGAGTTGCTTCTGCCTTAGTTTGCAGATAACAATCGTGAATGGTGCAAAAGTTCCCTTTCCCTATAGTAAAAATAACTCAATTTTTTGAAAATACCAAGCAAGCAAATATCGCGCTGGGATATAAAAATCTACATATAGCTACGTTAGCGAACGATTAAACAAACTTTACAAAGTCCTAACCCACCCTTTATTTCTCAGTTTGGCAACAAAAATGTCAAACCAAATAATATTGATTTATTGATTAATAAAGTGTTTGAAATGTTGCTCAGCAAAATCACATAAATTCCAGTGCATCCCTTGTCCATGGAAAATTCCCCCCAAGACGGATGATAACTGTGCAAATGGGCCACTTATGGAGAGAGAAGTTTACCCTTAGAATAAAGTTGAGAAATCCTTCAGCATTTCCTGTGACTGGGGAAGAAGGAAAAGAATTCATGACACATTGAGGAAATGTTTTATTTGACTTCCAAATACGCCTCCGTGCGATTTGTTTGCCTCAGAATCACCCCTCCGCGTTTATCCAGAGCGGAGAAATATGCTTCAGGGGTTGATTCCCCTCGTGTTTTCTCCTGCGCGAGAGCAAGAGAGTCGGCACTGTGCTAGGACTTTCCCCATGAACAACACTTCCTTGCACAGCACAGTCAGTTGGGTGAACTGTTTCGTGGCGACTGCTGGCATTAGTTAGCTTTTCGCTCGTTCGGTAACGAGAAAATGTGCAGAATTTGCTCCTGGATGCAATGTGATTGGAATTTATTATCGTCACCTTTTCCTGTGTGAATTTTCGCGATATATAGGCCATATTTATTGTATTCTATCGGCGAGATAGAAAAAAGCGCTTCATGTGAATTTTCGCAGTATAATAGACATTGTATGAGCATTCCTAAAATGCGCCACTTCTGAAAATTTTCATGTACAGTGTCGTGCAAGAGGGTATTTTGTGAGGATATTGATATATTGTGATCCGGGATAAATAGAGTGTTTGAAAGAGGTTTCTTTGTGCTGAGGTTCAAGCTTGAGAGGTTAGTGGTTTATTTTTTAGTATATTTGTGGTTTTAGGTGTAATTTTCGTGAATCAACAAGATGTTTGCATTGCTTTTGAATAAGTAAACCCATGAGTTCTCCAATAGACAATATCAGTGTGTGCCAAAACACAAGAAAATTCTGTGGTTCTTGGCAAGAGTGACTCTTTGACTTGTTCAACACAATTTTCCCACTAGAACGGGTGTGAATCCTTTGAGATACGATATAATGAATAGATGCTTTGATCTTCACACAGAATTTCAATACCACTGAACAATTCTTCTTCCTGGATTTCCACACTGTCTGTTGGTTAATCCATTGAAATTATATTTTATGAATTTTCCAAATGAATTCACCACAAGTTGAAAAATCCTGTGAATTTATTTTTTCAATATTATGTGAAATGATTTTGCATATAAACTGAGAATATAGAAAATACACTTGAAAGCCAAAATTGGGCATTTTTCATTTTACCGAAGTTAATATAACTTAATGATTCACCATGTTTCATATAGTGGCAAATATCACGCGTGACCATTTTCAAAGTGCCATAAACACGAGCATGATACGGTTTTCGCGGTAACTGATGAGATTTCCAATGGTGCGAAATGGGCGATGAGCAGGTGAAATTGGAGGTTTGCAATGCTATCATAGGATTGTCATTCTATATGGTGAATCAAGTGAATCGATTGCATTGCGTCTACAATTATTTCCACTGTTCTACCCTTCGTGGTCACTCTGCCAAAGCTGATTTTATTTCATTCACCCCGATCTCATACCTTGATTGTCCTCTCTGTGCGCCCAGGAATTGATTTCACACGTTTCACTCGAGATTTTAATTGGAATTTCCGCTCCAATCAAGGCACAGACGACGGGAAACCGACTCGTCCGGCATTCATTTCAATGCTCCCCAAACCCCTGGGATTTCCCACACTCGAGATATTCATAACTATGGATGGACAATTTTCATGGGGAGATAGAGAGAGAATAATTAAAAAAAATTAATCCAAAACTACAAAGACAGCCACGAAAAAGCTCGTCACAATGCAAACTTCCTGCATGACGAGACGTGAAATCCTGTGGCGAAACAATTAACAGGACTTTCCTGTGAACAAACGAAATTATTTATTCGCTCAGTTGATATTCTCCAGGACAATGTCACAGAGAAGATAGACAATTAGGAAAAGGATGTGAAGAGAAATGTTGGGTTTTGCGCATTTTTCATTTTACCATGAATTAATTTGCGGTTCTGGTTAAAAATTTAATGCACTATTCAAATGTAATGTCAATTATCAGTTTGTAGTGCTTTGAACGGATATTTTAGGACCTGCTGATCTTGTACTATTTGCTTTACACACATCACAATTCATATTGTCATATAACTTCGGCTCACTGAGAGAGGCATGGAATTTATACAACCACAAGGCTCGAGGGTCAAAGGATCGAAATGCCGCAGAGGTGAAGTCTTTTCGGCGACAGCAGCTCTTATTAAATTCTCTGGGTAAACCCTATAAATAAACCAAGGTTGACAAAATATGCGTCGCCACAAGGCATTCTGAATGCCATTTAATTTCGCGAAATGCTGTAATTTTATGTAAATGCGAGGGATTTCTCGTTGGATCCCACTCGAAATTTGGTTCAATTCATTGTTCAGTGATTGAATTATAGAGTCAAAACAATTTGTGCTATTTGCATTTGTGGCGAGGGTGGAATCCGGCCGGCAGACGTGTGTATGAGCCAGAATTCTCTGGGGGCGTGAAAAGGAAGCGACTCAAGACATTCCTCAAGAGATCACTTTACACGGATGGAAGGATGTATGAACACGATTCGTGGTGGTGAATCGAAAAAAGAGACACCATCAAAAATGTGTCACGACATTCCCTGCGGTGGAAATCTCCAGCAGTTCTCCAAGAAGGTGTGAACATTAATTTCGAGTGTACATTTCACACTTGGCCATAAATTCACTTGTTGTACATCATGACGTTCACCCGAGAAATTATTAACTCCTCCATTTTTACTCATTTTCACCCTACCGAGGGAATTAATTGCATCTCTTCTCATCCTTTTGTCCTGAGATGAACACTCTTCAGCTGAAACCACCACAACAATACAGATTTGCTAGTAGAACTTTAATTTCAGCCGCCAAGGACTGTCAGCAGCGATGAATTTTAATCTCAAATTAATATGTTGAGGAAATTTCTGGCGAAACCTTTTGTTCCTTTTCTCTTGTGAAATTACTTTGTTTAACAACAGAATCATCAACAATTTTCCTGCTCAGCTTGTGTATACAGAATTGGAGTTTTGCTCAGGCTTACAGGTTGAAACAATCCTTTCTCTTCCATCCCATCCTTTCTCTGCACCTCAATCGTTGCTTTTCTATTTGTGTACTCAGAAGGGGGTCCTTTTGACGTCTAATTTCTGAATTTTGGTGAGGTGAAATCTCATATTTGCAACCGTTCTTTGATGCTTATTTTCCTTGATATTTTCTCTTTTAGCACCGATGATCAAAGCGTCAAATCCAAAAGTTATTAGTTCACTTTTATGGAGCACATAGCTCCTCTCCAAATATAAATCTAAATACAAAATAGGTCAAATTGTTCTCGCGGAAATATTTTGGGATTGATTTTAACGGGTAACCTTTTGCTTCATACATAGGTGTTATAAATTCATTGAGATAGTAACTAAAATGCTTTATGTGAAAGACACACCTTTAACGGTCTCTATTTCAAATGGCGATCTTGGAGACTTTCCCGCCATGTGGCAACCCGCGATCGTCGCACTCTCCAACTGTTTATGACGTCTGCACCGTCAGTTGCCTGGGTGATCTTGTGGGATTGAGAGCGCGTGCGTGAAGTGCTCGCAGAACGCAGAATTGTACACAAACTGCACAGAGTGCACCGAAAAGAGTGTCATTGAGTCATTATGTGTCACTTCCGTGTGGATTAGCAGTGCAATTCGGCGCGAAATAATGCATTTCTGCTGATAAGTGACGGTTTTTTGGCGCTTCACGTCTTCTGTCCACGTAAATTGTTCTCTCATTCACCTGGGAATGTGTGCTTCAACTGCACCACTTAACGCCACAGCTCTCAACTTGTGCGGATTTACAGTGCAATTGAGTGTATTGAATAATCCCCTAAACTAATTACTCCACATTAAATCCCACTGTGAAATACTCTGTGATTGCCCTCTTTTTTGCGCTGTCCTGCACAGAGAGTGTCCGGGAAGAGCAGCTGGATAATTCGGTATCACTTGTGAGTATTCTGTGGCTGTTTGTTCTCGGGAATCTCTCCTTGGGCGGTGGAGGTGATTGCAAAAGTCCACTCCAATTGTTACTCCCTGTTCACCTCTCAATTTACTGTGTGACCATGATGATGGAGAATTGGGCGAATGCTGCAACATTTTCACACACACACACAGCTCAATCTCCCATGAAAGTATAATGTGAGAAATTCCTCATTGTTCCCTCCATCTCTTCAGCGCGGTTCTCATTTCCATTCAGCATTCTTCTCTCCACTCCTCAACCTGGATTTCTCATGCCTTATGCAATGTCTGTCCGGAGGATGAATTCCGCGAGACTCGCAGTTGATGTTTCTGGCAGTTTTTGGCTGAAATCCCCAAGGATTTGCACTTGCAGAATAGACGATGATTCAAGAAAGTCTCGACGCAGTTCTTGAGCCAATCTAAAACCGGTTTTCAACTCCAAATGTCAATGTTTACCTGGCGATTACCTCTTCGCCATCTAATACTCAATTTCTCCTCGTCAGTCTGATATTACATCTTCAGATGGGAAGAGCTCTGCACACACTCGCAAGCGACTTCCGCATAGTTTTGCCCACTATTTTTGATGAAGATAATTAAAAGATGCATTGAAAATGTCACTTTACATGATTCAATGAGAGAAATTTTGAGTGGTTTGTGGGAAATTGCAGAGAATTTCCATCAAAATATTAATACTGAAGAGTGGGTGGAATTAATTTGAGTTCGCCTTTAGTTCAACAGTCGAGATATCATCATATTTCGTGATTTTTGGCTATTTATGAATGCCAAAAACAGTCCTAATTGACATATCTCATTTCTCTTATTTTTCTTCATTTTTGGAAACCATAGAGCTTGAAAAGCTTTCCCCCAATTACAATGCGATGAAATGTTGAATCAACAAATAATAATTTCCCCAATTTATACAGAGAGTTTGTCCATTAATATTAAATCATAATTACTTAATCCAATGTTAAAATTATCACATTGAAACAGATTGTTTTTAAATAGTAAAAAACGAATTGATAAACACTTCTATGAAGCTTTGATAATGTGAACTGTAATTATATATTTATAGACTTTAAAGGTTGAAATAACTTTATTGTGTAATTCGCCAGACTTTCTTTGTGTTCCATGAAAGATTAGAACCCAATTTTCTCTAGCTCAAGACTTCTTTGCACACAATACTAGCTAAACATGTTATCACATTCTCATAATTTGATTTTCCAAACTAATTTACAAAACTCTCTTTCCCCTAATTGCTCTAAACATCTGCTTTTCGCGAAATTATTGCAAATCTTCCACTCGGCAAGGCTGTAAGAAGGAATTAAGTTAATTTTCCTCTACGCTGCTTTCGGAGCGTCTAGCAGAAGAAGGAAAAAAAAACATCCACAGAGGGGTTAAAAATGTTAAATTTAGCGTAAAATGATTAAAACTGTCTCATTCTTGTTTTCTTTCCATGGGCGGATTTGTTAATTTTTGCTTCATATAGAATCATAAAAATAAACTTTAATGAGTGGGAAACATAAAACTTTTCTTGTACAATCATCATTAACATTTTTTGTGTCTTTCCTCATTATGAAGCCCTGCGTGAGGGCTAAAAAAGAGAGCACTGTGAATGAATAATATGGCAAAAGTCCTCCCACATTGATACATTTAGTACAATTTTGTATGCGGAGACGCTCTAGTGATGTGTTCGAGAAGAGGAATTGAATTCACACATTTTCTTTAGCTTGACTTACTCTGTGGTTGGTGAGGAATTCTTTCATGTGATTTCATAACGGGAGTATCACTGAAATTTGCGTGTTTTTGCTAAACACGCTGAATTGCCGTTCGCAAAGCGTATATCTTCCTTCCATGCCGCTGACCTATATATTTCCGGCTCGCGGTGAAGTCATTTTCATCCTTTTCCCGGCACAGCACAAATTCTCTCTCTCTCGTCATCGGTGGAGAAGTGGTGTGGATTTGCGTTCTTTGGGGGCGCACACTTCACCATTAATATGGAAATGGTATTATGGGTTGAATTTTGCGATGGGAAGGGAAATATAGTTCAGGGCATGTGAAGATTGTGAAGCGAGAAAGAAAATAGGGTAAATGTCAATGGTATTTGGCCACTTGAGCACGCTACAATGGCAATTTTATTGTTCAATTTAAATGCAAAGAATGGAAACGCATTTATCCGGAGATAAACATCTTGAGTGTTGGTTATTAAAGCGAAAAGAGAGACATTTTCTCTACCACTTCTGGATGCTATATTTTAAATTTCAAGCATGAATAATTACAGTTGTTTCAGAGGGCATTTTCTTATGTTCACGTGCTGTTGAGTAAGTGAATATAAAATCAGTCAAATTGCCAATTTAAACTAGTTTTGCACACCTACCAAAAAGAACCGAAAGAAAGTCTTTGGCAAAAATAAAGTGTGTGTGTTTAGAGTTGTATCGAAATGTGCAGATCAGTAGAGTTGAGGACAAATAGACGGCTATTAAGACAGATGAAAGATAACCACTCGCATTACGAAGTCTTGATGTTTATCTATCTCTCCATCTATGAAGTGATCAACTCTGCTCATCATGGCTTCTCGAAAATGTTAGTAAGAAATTCTGTGTAAATTCAGGTGGTCAGAGGCGAATTACGTCACACTTTTGCAGCGCTCGAAAAACCGTATGGATTTCCTCTCCTCCACGCGTCTTTCTCTCACCTCAATCGCGAGTGGAAAAGACGAAAAAAAATGCTTTAATCGCGCCACAATCACGAAGATTGACTTCATCTCCGGTATTAGATATTCAAAAGTGACTGCTGAAGAAGAGATTCCATTGACATTTACCTACTTCCATAAACTCAATTTGAGTATCTACGAGAGTGACGAGGAATGTGTCAGTCATCCAACATGTTTACTTGTTTGCCTTCCTCACCTCAAGTCTCACCAGCTTTCCGGGCTTTCGGGAAAAGTCTCGGTGTGTGACGACGGTGGAAAATACTCTATGGCAAAATACAATTAACTCTAATTATTGTGAAGATAATATAATTGTCGAGAAAGTTCAAATGATGTTAATTGAGATCAGTTCAAGTTCATCAGTTTTCTTAAGGCACATCTAGTCTCGCTCATCATCATTTGGCTGTTGAAGTATGTAAATTAGTTATATCAATGACGCCACTTTCAACCGGCGAATTCGCTCGCTGAAATGATGCACACTTCAATAATGCATTTGACAACCCGAGGGCTTTTAAAAGTATAACACGCTGGCACGAATTCAAATGAAACATCGTCGTATGAGTAATTTTTTTTTACAAATAAATGTTCAGAGAGGGTGAATTTTTCAATGGAAAAAGTTGTACATGAAATTTTATGTGCCTAATGAATAAAGGACTTCATGAAACATGAAGCGAAGAGTGGATTGCAATGGTCAGAATTTTGTTAGTTCCATCAATAAATGGCATGAATTTTTAATAATTAACTCTTCAATTCACTCATGGACTTGATAGTTTATTCATCTAAATGGCCACATTTAATATTCAGGTCAATATTGAGAATCACTTATAGAAATTTGAGAATGCATTATTCGAAACACTTGAATTATTTATATATTTTAAACATCGCTTAGGGAGAGGAGTCGTTACTCTGCTGCCACATTTAACAAATTTTCCCAATTTTTCCTTTTTGTGATAATTTTTTTTTCATAAATGCACGGTCTAGTGATTTTGAAACATTTACAAAAAAAATATACAATTGATGAAATAGTAGTTTAACACGAAAAAACATTTCCAATAAATGGACACAATTATGCTTTTTCTGCGAATGAAGTGATAAAAGAAAATCACTTTTATATCGGATATCGTTGTAAATTGATAATCCTTTAATGAAATACTGCGTAATAACTGTTACCAATATTTATTATATACATATTTATTCATTAATTGGACGTTCTCGCTCAATGCGTTGCCATGGAACGGTTTTAATTATAAGAGCACATTTTTGTTCTGGAATTACGAATGTATCATTTAATTTTTCCCACCCACTCACTGGCAATCTTCTTCGCAGTGCCTTTTGAAAGATGTTCAGCACTTAATTCATGACGACACTTTAATTTTCATTTGATATTTTCACGACAGTCAGCTCGGTAGATCACCAGAGTTTTCTGGGTATTGCAGCAATGGTAACAAAAGAAATCATAATAATTCTCCAGCATGGAATCATCTCGCTCTCCATATCTTATCGCCTATTGTTATATCATCATCCAGATTGTCTCTGGCATTCAGCAGCAACTTCCTTTCACCCAGCGAAGAATGGCATTGTACTCCTTGCAATTATTTAGCGCACGGGGAGGGAAATACCAAAAATGGCATTATACAGTCCCCTGCTCATATATATTGTTATTTCGGATTTCTCTCCGTCGGGAAGCGGCGGAGGGAGGGAAATTCTGCAAACTTTTATAAGCATGTGGAGGACACATCCTGAGTATGAAAGGATGAACGTGTACAGTGAGGCAAATTGAAAGTCCGGCTTCTGGGAAATAACGATAGTTTTGTGCCGATATTCTGCTATTACGCAATTTGATATAGATAAAATTTGAACAAAATTGTGAATTTTTTGGTAAAGAATATAACAACAAATAAGGGTATTTGTTTTAGCACCACTCATAATTAAATTATTTATCTTGAAAAATGCTTCATAAGGATTAAGTCAGTTGGAACTCAGCTGAACTAAGCACAAAAATACCAAATATGTATTTGATCATTTGCTGCGCAACTACAAAGCTTTAGTATTACGCGTATCGCAATTAATGAATTCACTGCAGTGCATATCCATGGCATAACAAAAGAATAATCCCATATAATTCCTCATTTCTCACGTTGATTGTGATAAATGTTTGCACATCACAAAAGAGGGGATGGACGTTGAATAACGGCAAATTTTCGCTGCAAAGTGCAGTCCTTCGAAAAAGCGGATATACTATAGTGAAAGCCGACTCTTAGCAAGTGCCCGAAGGGATGCCGG